TTTTCTTAATAAACTTAAAAATTTGTAGAATTAGGGTTTAAATACTTTTATCTTTTTTTTTTCTTTTCTTTTTCACCATTGTTAATAATTAATTATTTATTTTTGTAAATAAAATTGTATTAATTAATTAGGTTAACTTTAGGTTTAATTTTCACATTTTTTTTAATAAATTAAAAATAGTTAGAATTAGGTTTAAATTCCCTTAATTCTTACTAAAAGTCCATAAATGCAAAAAAACTCCAAAAAAAATCTTTTCTTTTTATTTTAACTTAATTAATTTCGTAATTTTAATTTAATTTCCTAAAAAGGGTCCAACGCCCTCGCATTCCCGATTTTAATCCTCTTCGCATTTTATTTTATTTCCTTTTTTCATGTAATTCTCCCAAAGCCATGTAATAGCTTAATTAGACATTTATTTATTTTTCGCACTTTATTTTATTTCAAATCGGGTCCTGGATTAATTTGGCGATGTGGACCCGCGCCTTTGTAATAGCGTAGGATTTTTATGTTCTCGCAACTTTTAACTGTTAACTATCGCATGAAAGAATGAATGTCAAAAATAAAAGCAACGCGTAGATCACCAATACATGACAAGACAAAATATCTGAAAACGACACACGAATCACACACCACCCCTAGGGTACGCCTCACTGTTGCCTTGCCCCTCGAAAGATGGTCGTCGAGTAGAGGATGTTTTAGTAAGTCCTCATGATCCAGGAACCTGACATGAGGGTAGCTTCTAAGGTGTCTTCCCATTGCTCCGGTGATCACCATGTCCCGAACCTTCGAATTGACCCGAACACCTCTAACGGTGGTGCTACCTATCTCTCAATGGTGGGATGGCACTACTTTAAAGGACATCTACACAGACGAATTCCTTAGGGTAGGTAGACGACTCTAAATACTTGCTCTAATTTCAAAACAAATCAAAAGATACTTTTCACACCGACACCTTTTCAAAAAGCTTTCGAAAGCAATTTTTTCAAACACTCTTGAGGACTGATACAAGAGTCGAACTGAAATGTTCAAAGAAACTTTTTTTAAAACCCACAGTTGAAAAGCAAACAAACCCTTTTTGAAAACACAATGAGCAAGTATCTAAGAGCCCATGGATAACCATGGATAGAAAGGGTGCTAACACCTTCCCTTTCTATAATCTACCTCCCGAACCGAGAGCAATCTCTATAAGGAATTTTTCTGTGCTTTTGTCCTTTCCAATTGGAGAAAATAAAAGACGGTGGCGACTCTTGCTTCCGCGACATTTCGCGAACCAGCGTTAAACAGTCAGTTCCAGATCCACCGATCACAGTGTGGTATTTATTATTCAATTCATGGCAGGTTTTGAAAAAGGAGTCATGGAAGACAAGGTTCATCGACATGGCTTGAAGGCATGTTAGCACGGAGTAGGTGCTTGAAAGCTTGAATAAGTTACAAGATGGTGTTAGACTACGAAACCATATCTAAAAGGGGTGAATAGATCTCTAAATGAAAACTATCTTTTAAAATGGTTATTTAAAACTTATTTGAAAAATAATGTTAAGCGAAAGGTTTTTGGCCTGGATCAATATAGTAGTCTAAACGAACCTAGTTATTGAAAACTCGGATATGCACGAGTCAGATGGAATTAACATAATGATAAAATTAATCAACATAATAATATCTAAATTACCTGTTTAATATCTAACACAATAGTTTCCTATTTCTAATGAAATCAGATTAAAATCATAACTTGACAATTTATCGAACATGTGACGCACAATCAATTTTTCAGAATTTTCTTTGAGCTTTGTTGATATGCAAAAGAACTTACAATCAAAGTGATTATAAGCTAATAAAAATAATAATTTAAACTTTCATAATCAAAGAGAAATTCTATACGAATCAATCGATCAAACAACACATTCAACAAATTGCATATAGAGAGTAAGTAATATAACATTGCAATTTTCCTTTGAGCTGAACAAGCTAAACAATTTGTCAAACACTTGGTGTGCAAGTGAGTTTTCAAAAATTTCCTTTAAGTTGTGTTGATACACAAAAGCACTTATAATCAAAAGTGATTATAAGCAATATCAACACTTGATGTAAATCAAAAAACAGTTCAGAAAATTACTTACAATTTAATTGATAACGCAATGCTATTTGACAAATTTATTGAATAATATTAAAGCAAGTAAAAGCGATAAAAGAAAAGAGGCACAACGATTTGTCTACACAGTTTCCCACTTTCGTCCTCGCATGTGGGTACGTCTGCGCCCAATTCCAATGTGAAATTGAGATACTTCCTTACTTTGCAAAAGTATGAATACAAGAGAAGTGTTCAGAGCAACATTACAAATCATAACCGTTTGATGTCGATTCAACTCCTTCTCTTCTTTTGATCTTCAACAAGACCAAGACCGATAGATGCAACCTATTCGCCACTTAAGCTACTTCCTCCCAAAGATTTCAAACATTCCAAGAATCCTTACAAAGATTTCAAACACTCCAAGGTATTTCACTCGAGTAAGTCCGATTGCATACTATCAATACAAGATCACCGATTTTATCATCCAATTCTTGATACTTCCTTAAAAATATTTAAACACTCTAAGGTTCCTTGAAAATATTTCAAACACTCCAAGGGATTTTTCACATGGACAATTCTTTCTCGTACGAAAACCCCCAATTCAACAAATGATTTTGGAAGAGAAATCCGATGGTTTTTACAGATGAAGACCCCTATAAAAACTCAACCCAAACCAATTGGAAATCCACAGTTCTTTGTTTAGATGGAACCTTGACAAAACATCATCACAATGTAATATTGGTGTATATGCATAGATTGGAAGGTTGAAGAAGAAGAGAGAAAGTAGACTAATTTAATGGTATCATCAAATTGAAATGATGCATGAATAATATATTTATGTTGGATCTTTTTAGGTAAAAGAGGGTAGTTTCAGAATGAAAAAATAATGAAAAAATGACCCATAAAACAGTATGTGTTGACCTGAAAAGTTTGTGTCGACACATGCGAAACAATGGCTAAAAGCTTTAATAATGCAGTACATGTGCTGACACATAAATCATATGTATCGACACATGCGCCTGTGTTTTAAAGCAAAATTTTTGAAAGCTTTAATATTGAAGTACATGTGTCGATGCATAAATCATATGTGTCAACACTTACTGAAACACTTAAGAAAATGCAAAAATGCATAATTTATGTGTCGACATATACAAATTTCAAGTCGACACATAAGTGTTGATTTTGTGCAACAACTGATTTTTCATGATTGGGATCAATTTTAAAATTGTTTTAAATGATTCCTAAGACCTCTAATACAAAGGGGGTGCCACAAGACATAAGAATACCGTCCACCATACTGAAATGCTAGTTTTCTGAGTTTTGACATCATGTAAAACATCTAATAGTGAAGTCGCACTCACAGACGAAGTTCTGGGAATCTTAGGATTAGAAACAATAGGCTTCAGTATGTAATTTTTGTGTAATTTCCTATGTATGTGGTATAGTGTAATGGAAATTGTAATGTGACTTGAGTGAAATTGTAATGGTCCTGACTTTTCAAATGGAATTTGAATATGTATCTTTCCTTCAATTGCTTCTAATTTGAATTTCCAAGTATCTTACTTCAATTTTGAATGCACAGTGAGATGAGATGAAAATATACCAAGAGATTCATGTAGAATTTTGGCCCCTAAAGTACCATTTGTGTAATTTGCATGGTGATATAGTATGCAATTGGATATTGGACATATACTTGACCATGACTTCAAAATATAATGAAGCTTAAATTCTTTCTCCAAATGGATTAGAAGTTGCTCTTCTTTTCCCTCCATTTCTTCATATGGATGAAATTGAATCTAGAAGACTTGAATAATATAAAATGATTCAATGCTGATTCCCAATTCATATGAGAACTCTTGAATGAAGTTCAAAGAAACCAACTTGTATCACAAGAAAATAAGGATGAATCATGTCTTGATTAATGAGTAACATCAAATTATTGAGAAGAGGTCCATGAGGAATGCATAGCCAAAACTCTGAGGTCCATCTGATAACCATAAGCATATGGAGGCAAATCTTAATCCATGATATTTGATCCTCAATTGAAACAAACCTGTGAAAGTCAATGAAACTATAATGTCTTGTGAAACTTTAATTTTTCATGACCATTGATTCAAGTATCAAGCCTTAATTATTAGTGAATGCATGATGTGTTAGATGACCTAATAGAAAGATGAGTATAACAAATTGTAAGATGCATAAATCAGATAAAAGTAAAGGGTATGATAAATTTGGAGTATGATACCATAAAACATAAAAAATAATCTATTGATCATAAAAACTACCTAACTAAATCGTTCCTCATTCGTTCTAAGCTATCAAACACTAACAATATTCCGATTTCATAACCTAAAACTCAACTTCTACACAATTTTACATAAACTCAATAAACTTAAAAAAAACTTAAAATTTATGTCTTCAAGAGTAGATTGTTGTTACTCAATGTTATTTATAGTCAAATGTTTGATGAAGACTGATACTCTTTGATGTTGTTTGGGTGTGTTATGAGTAAGTTTGAGAAAATAGAGGTGGAAGAATCTTTAACTTAAAAAAAAAAATCTATACTATTCCCCTATCGATTCAAAACATATCATATTAATTTTTTTTATCTAATTAGTGACGAATGAAATGACCAATTTTTTAATTTTTTTATTGCTATTTAATCAAAAAAGACTAAATAATATATTTTTAAGAATTAATAAACTAATATGTACATTTTTTTTTATAAATTAAAAGACCATAATAAACCTTTAAGTTAAGTTACAAGAGATGACATTAAAAAACAAAATAAAATTGGACAAAAATTATAAAATCTATTTTTCCCCTTCATTTTATTGAAATTCTCTTGTTAGTTTTCTTCTCTTTTGGCTTTGATTCAAAACAAAAAAAAAAAAAAGATCAGCGCGATCAGTGTTGTTTCGTCTGCAACAACATGCCTGTGAGAGTAGTATTGGAGAACACTCCCACCCCTTCTCACGTTTCTGGTATATACACATTCCGCGTTTCACTGTTTTTTCCTTATTGTTAACCCTTTATTGTATTCAAATCTTGTTTAATTCTTCATCTTTAGCTGTAACTCCAAGGCGTCGTTCAGTCCAATCTTGTACTCTTCTATGTGCTGGACAGGTACTTACTTTATTAATTTCCATGTTTTTGTTTCAATCTTGGAGAAATTTGGGAAACAAATGAAAACCCTTTTGAAAAATTTGGGTTTCTTTGTTTTAGGTTTGTTTCAGTAATCTTATAGAGCTGATACAAATACCATGAATATATGATGTATAGCCAAATTCTGGGTTGCGTGAGATTTGAAGCATGAGATGGATTGTATTGATTGTATTGTTTTGCAACTAGTCTTGGCTAGTCCCAAGCCACTCCATGATTTGAAGGGAAAAGTTAGAAAACAGAAAAACTCAGCTAGTAATAGTTTATTTACATGTTTTATACTCTCAGGCCTTTTCTGGGACTCAGAATGTTTCAAGCTTACAAAAAGATGAAGCATGGAGGGTAAATGTCCGATTACAAGGATGTGATCTTGAGCACGGATATCTATGTGGCACCATGGAAGCTCTTAATGTTCCTATGGCAGACACACCTGTAAGGAATTTCTCTCTAGTTCATATTTCTTATGTAAGAAAACAGAAAAGAAAACATTTTTCTCTAACAAGAACTAGCTAGTTTGTTTAATTATATCCTTGGTTGGTTAATCATTCACATTCACTTTCTCTAATGATTTATACCAGGTAGTAACATTCTGGGAAGGGGAGATTGTTGATGCAAGGAATTATACTTTCTTCACCGGCAAATGGGAAGCAGCGTACGTTATTATGCAATAACTAACAATTAAATGAAGCATGAAGTTTTTATGTTTTGATAACTTTTTTTAATTTATTTCTTCGTCATTTTTCAGGCCAGAAGATGATATAAGGCATTGGACTAAGTTTACGTCGTTTTCCCCTCTATTGGTAGCGACCTTGACTTTGGTGTCATGTGTAAGATGATGCGTCATATATGTAATGTTTCTAATGTACTTCATTTTTGTAGAGTCAAGTAGAGGTAGATGGTGGCAAGTCTATGGACCTAAGCAACTATCCCTACATATTCATGGTAAATTGATCTCCAATATAAAATGAACATATTGAAAAAACTTATAGTTTGTGAAATGAAAACACTGTTTTTCATTTCAGAGATGGAAGGAGCAGTACTTTGTGAATGTCGGAACTGACTGTGGGTTAACTATAGCTGGATTTTACTATGTTTGTTTCTCGTGCAGCGATGGCTCTATCAGCGGATTCTACTACGATCCAAATAGCAGGTGACTTCCTCTTCCGATTCGTAATGATTAAGCAGTTTAATATTGAATTGAGATACGATACGACTTGCATGTACATAAAACTTGCAAGAAGTTTTTAACATAAAACTCATGAATCCTTTGCAGCCCGTTTCAGAAGCTTGAGTTGAAAGCCACAAATGATGGAAGATCGGGTTTCTCTTTTTCATCGTATGAGCTACAATAGACTGCACGACACATAACATATCAAAATGAATCATTTTGATTGAACTTCTTGAAGTGTGTTACAGTCGATGACAAAACCTGGAAGATTTGCAAGAGCTCAAGACTGTCAGTGATGTATAAGAGTAAGAAAAGTGAAAGCTTTGAGAATAACTTTGTTATATACTACAAGTCCCCCAATTTAATATTTGCATATTCTTGTTAACAGCAGCTTATTATGCCCTTTTACAAGCTACGAATATAGTGAAAAATGCTCAGTTTTTGTACAATTTCTCTTCCTTAATATTCCCTCCGTCAAAATTGTAAGAGAAAAAAAACAAAAACAGACTTATAGAATTTTTATCTATTTAGAATAATTATAAGTGATTTTTTTAAATAGAATTTTCAATCTATTTAGAATAATCACAAGTGATTTTTTTATAGATTTTCAATCTATTTCAATTAATCAATCTAATGAACACTTTTTATACTACATGCCGTAAATAATTTAGTTGTCGAGAATTCTTATCCAGTTTTGAAAAATATTTTAATTATTATAAGATATTTAAATTATGTATCCATAGTAAAATTTATTCAAATTTTTAATAACTTTTAAAATATTATAAGAAATTTTAAAAAGATATGTTTAAAGAAGAGAGAAATTAAATCTTTTTGTCATGTGATATTTTGAGTGAGTAAGTATATATTATTAGATTAAATAAAATTAATAGATAATATTTGGTGTCAAATTAAAGTTTGACATATAGTGTAAAACATATCCTGACTCATAAATAATATATAAATTATATAAATATTTGTAAAGATGTTTTATGAATTAACAAGACAGAGTGATATTATGATGATTTGAAGGGCCTTCTATTAATTATATCAAAACGTGGTGCATGTTTGCAAGCAAATACTCTATTATATGCAAATTTGATGGTTTTTTAAGGCACTTTCTTTTTCCATCATGGTATGTTCTCTCAAATCCTTGGCAAAAATTAAAAAATGTCTTATATTTTCAGAAATATATCTTTAGACGCACAATTTTAAAACAAAATAAGTGTAAATTGTTGAGTTCTCCTCACTATGTTAAAATTTAATTTAAAGACGCATCTCCAAATGTGTTTTAGAGTTTGTTCGTAGATGTATCTATAAATTAACCTTTGTTTTTAAATTAAGGGAAATTTTTGGAGATCCATCTCTGAAGGTTTTCAATGCATATATACCGAGCTCCAGACCTTCTCTCTCCTCCATTTTCAGAATCTTTTTCTTTCCCCATTGGAGCTCGTGAGAAAAATTGTTCCAGTCAGTTTATTAAACAACAGAAGAACCTCTACTTCAGTATTACCAATCCCAACTCACTCCACATACTACATTGAACATTATTCATCCTTATCAACACTTTTTTGAATAAGTTTTTCATTTAACTTTTTTTGACTTTTGATTAATGTATTAAGTAAAATAGTTTACTTTTAATGCATTAGGTAGTATTATAATTCGAAATAGGTAATGTTACAGACATGCACTATGATTTGGATGTATTTTGAGTTGTTAGGGCAAAATTAGTATCTGTTTCTACCATTGAAGTAAAACACGAGTTTTTTCGGAGATGCATCTTTGAATTGAGTCCTTTCTGATTTTAAGAGACGCATCTCCGAATTAGGTCCTTTATGCTACATAATTTCAAACTAATGTCTTTTTTTCTCTTTTTTCAGGAGAATGGTTGCAAACAACAACAGAATGAGACTCGGCCGTGAAACCCTAACTACATCCGCTCGTCGCGAGAGGGCTCTTCAAAATGAGCAAGCCAAAGCTATGCGGGAGCCGTCCCTAGGTCTTATGATAGGGAAGCGTCGACTTCTAGGAGCTTCCTGCCACATGGGTCCTCATCCCAGGCTTACGTATACCAGAAGGAGGCTTCTGCTGCACATGATGATGTCACTCCACTTGTAAACCCTTATCTAGGAGGGCTTATTGATACATCATTATTGATATATTATAACGACCATGTTGCACTGCATGTCTAGTTCAAAAAGGTATATTTGTTAATAATTGTTAATTTTCTATTTTAACCAAATTCAATGTGACTAATATTGTTATATTTTATTTTTAACAGAGACACTGTTATTTGAAATTTGTTAACCAAATGCAAAAGATTCATAAGCTTTATCAACCTAAGGACAAGTGGTTCCAAAGTGTCATATGATACTTTGGTCTTGCTGATTTGTGTTCTTTTGGGTACAACACCATCAGCCATGACATGCATGGTATAACACCCTATTTTCTCCATCGCATATTTAATAAAATCAGAGTAAATTAAATTTTTACATCAACAACAAAACAAGATGACACATCATTTAATATCACACAAATTACTCAAACATTTAACAAGTAGATACATAACACACATTTTGGATAAACTGACAACGTCATCATCATAGTTATCAATATCTCGACTTCATTAATGCAACAAAAAAGAATTCATAATTTAATTCCAACATCATCAATTCGCCATATGACCAACAATTATCAATTAAAAGAGAGTTTACAAAGCTCCCAAAATATTCTTCAAAGAAAATATCAATTAAATAAAACGAGCGTTCATCCCCGATGTTACGTATCAGAGCAAGACCCGACTCAATCTACGTAATACAAGGCGCAACTCTAACTCAAGCAAATCTAATCTTCGTCACCCGCACATTACCCATGTGGAGGCAACATTCAAACAGTAAGGGGTGATATATCATAACAATATAAATGAATATATGATAATGAACAGGTAAAGTATGTCATACATAATCATAATATCATACTTCATGCATCAACACCAATACATGACACCATCTCAACAATGACGCCCAACACTCAAACCAATCACATCTTATTCATCAACAACATCATAATTATTCATACTTTATGCATTAACACCAATACACCTCATAGTTTCAACAATTACATCCAACAATCAATTAAATCACATCTTATTCACAAATAACATCATAATTACAATGAGACCAACTTCACTAATTATATGCATGTTGTTGTACCCCAAAATTTGCCCTCCCATATTCTCCAATAAACTGCCAAGCCAAGCTACAAAATTCCCCAAGAATTGCACAATGCAAAGGCCTCCATACAGTCAAAACTAGGGTTTGTGTGTTGATCAAGAAAAGGAAGTTTTCAAAGGCTCAATCAAGTCTCATATGCTTACAAACATGGTCAAGCATCCTCATATCAAGTTTCAAGGCATTCAGCTCAAGATTGTACAGTCAAAACCCTAAATTGCACTACAGTCAACTGTAGGGGCAAAATGGTCATTTGACAGTCAAAAGTTCAAATTTTTGGTCAATATATCATTTTGAAGCCACAAACATCATTTGATCAATGCTTGATCATGATTCTCAAAATTTGGCTCAGAAATCATCAAAGATGCAAAAGTTGCTATATTTGGACAGCTGAAAAAGTCAACTGAAATTGACCAGGGCATAACTTTCACATGGATTATAAGAAAAATTCCATCCAAAGCTCATTTTGAAGAGAAAGACATTTCCTACAACTCATCTTCATACTTCAAGTCCAAGAAATGCTCTCACAAAAAGTTATCAATTTCAACATTATAGGTCATTTTCAAAAGTCAACAAAAAGGGACTTTAAGTCAAAGGCCATAACTTGAGATTGGTAAATCAAAATGACATGGGACCAAAGGCATTGGTTAAAGGACTCAAAGACCTTTCCAAAATGTCCAAGAACATGTGAAAAGCTTAAAAATTGAGCAAGTTATGCCTTGTAGAAGTTGGGAAATTTTTGTGAAATGGCAAAAATCAACTATCCTTGAAAATCCAATTTTTGACAAAAGGGCCCCATTTTTTCCACTTGGTTCATCCTTGTCATGCCACACACGTGTCCCATGGTTAATTTCAAGACCAAATATTGATTTTTTTATTTTATTTAATTTTTGATGATTTAATTCATTTTAATTCTTTGAAAATTCAAATAAAATTTAAAAAACCAATGGAATAGTGTTATGTGAACTTGGACAATTTCTATGTATCATGAACCTACTCAAGAAATCAGGCTAGGGTTCATTTGCACACTAGGTCTAGGTTTTGGCTAAAAAGGAGGAAAAATGGTTAAGAGTGAAAACCCTAAGACCAATTCTTTCCCAAGCATGGATTAAGGTCAAATAGCAAGCCTATTCCATTCCATGATGATCACTGAGTCCAACCCTAACTAGAACATAGCAAAAGGCTCGCTCAAAAGCCATGGGACAATTTGAAATTTTGGCCATATAATGCAAATCTGAAATCAGTGCTAGAGGATCTTTCAAGCCTTAATTTTTGTTCCATAAGCATCCTTAGACATTCCTGAACGAATCTCAATCACAAACAACAACAAAAGCGTAAGGAATTGGTGGATCGTACTCAAACTGTACAGAACTTTTTTTGAAATCGTGTTCTCAATTCTAAGCCTCTTCATTGCATTTCAAACATATATCCTTGTTCCTTGCAAAGTTACTAAGCTCTCCATTATATTCAATTGCATTTTTAGTGATCATACGTGATTCCACCATTTTCATGTTCTAGGGTTTTGTAGAGTTTAATTTAGGGCTTTTGTAAATAAGAAAAATCAGAGCTCAAGACCATTGCCATCACACTCAACGCATCTGGACGAAAAGATTCATACACTCGCGCCTAATTTATATTTGGAAACAAGCTAATCGCTATTTTTCTGTAGCTAGCTTTAAGCCACGCATGAAAAACCGTGGCCAATGCGTTTTGTTTTTTACAGGGATGAAGAAGATGGTGTCGTGTCACACAAGGACAGGTTCATTTAAATTTGCGCGCGTTTTGATGACTATGCATTGGTTTTGTTTTTTATTATTTGTTTGCCATTATATGTTAAATGAACCACAAATGGCTCAGTGGCCAGGGACACGCGCATGTGGCCTTCAAGACCTGGGTTCAAGTCCCAGGTCTACACAATTTCCATTATTTTTCTATTCAAGTTCCTGTGCAGGTTTCT